GTACAATATCTAAACATGGTGTTGGATTCACACTAAACATCATGAACGTACTAGTACTATATCTAAACATGGTGTTGGATTCACACTAAACATCATGAACGTACTAGTACTATATCTAAATATGGTGTTGGATTCACACTAAACATCAAGAATGTACTAGTACTATATCTAAACATGGTGTTGGATTCACACTAAACATCAAGAATGTACTAGTACTATATCTAAACATGGTGTTGGATTCACACTAAACATCATGAATGTACTAGTACTATATCTAAACATGGTGTTGGATTCACACTAAACATCAACACTTATGATAAACAACATTGTTTATTGACAAAAAGGGGACATGGATAAACAATGTTGTTTATCATAAGTGTCGTAATCTTGTTTACAATCAAACTTTAATGGATCTTATCACATCTGGACTGTCATCATTACGGTGGACTTAAAGATAATTTTGATAGTCGGTTGTGTCCATCCGTCCTTCTGGTTGGTTGGTTGCAGATCTTTCAAGGAAACGGTTTTGGCACGACCGAATAAACAATGACACAATTCATCCAAGCTCTTACGTGACGAACTTCTCCGTAACAGATGTTAGCTAAGGCAATGATGGAGTCATTCTCATCGGATTGTGTGTAACATCTTCTCACCCAGAAAACTTCAAGTAAAGCAAATATTAATATATTTATGACTGCCTTTTTTGTCCAAATTTCCTGGTGTTGTTGGCTCCCGATAGAGGACAGTTAGCATACAGCACACTCGAATTCGTTGATTCTTAATAGATATGGAACAGTAAATACCACTACACCGCGAGAAAGCCGTGCTCTATTTAGTGTGAAAAAGCATTGGAATTGTTCACTTATTATGTGCTGTTGCTGACACACAAGTAGCCATTTTGAGACGTCCTCTGTGGTGTCCTCTAGCGAATACAACGACAACTTTCTCATAGAATTGCAGTCAGACACTGAATTACAGAGCATACTTCATATTTTTCACACTGTATGCTTAGCAGATCCATTTCAGTCAAACTTGCTTTATTTTCTTTCAACTAATACTTGTGGTGTCGTGTATAATTTTTGTTAAATTAATATTTGCTGCCATAAAATATCGAAGCTTGTGAACCATATCTAAGTGAAAAGTTTTCGTTCCGTACCTTTCTTTATATCCTCAAGTTATCAGCGCTTTCGGGAACGTGAGTAAACCTTTCACGTGCGAGTTTAATGGCGGTTAACTTCAAAGTATTAATTTGAACGGGAACGTGAGTAAACCTTTCACGTGCGAGTTTAATGGCGGTTAACTTCAAAGTATTAATTTGAAAGGTCTTCTGTATATATATAAACCTCTTGCGGTAAAACAACTATTAACTACTTATAAAGATTTACTTCGTTAATATTGATGTCTAACCACTAAACGTAACTTTGGTTCTTCTAGGTCCCGAGGCCCATAAACTTCAGATTCAATTCAGTAATTTAATAAACTTGGGAAGTGTGCGTAAACGCACAAAGCTTGGAATTAGGAAGATCACCACCTTTTATAAGCCGTGCCGAACTTGTAAGTTTAAATATGTTTTTTTTTTTAATTGTAGTTGATAATAAAATGAGCATCAACAACTGTAGTTAATCTTAAAACGGGAAAAGAAATCCTCCAGTTGAAGTTCAAATTCTTTTTTTTTTAATGATTTGCCGATTTTCCACCAGTACAGAAAAAGAACTCTCCAGGCAGAGTTTTGAAGTTGCCTTTTTTTTTATAATTTAGTCTATGATTCGTTGACTTTCTATGAACACGCTTTCAAACCCTTAGCTAAAGCCTTAATAATTTAAAATCCTAAAATCAATCCGAGTTTTACAAAACAATTTTTACCACAGGTTTAAAGTAGTGTAACTATCGAATACAAAACAATCTAGATTGGTGACGACACCCTAACCCACTTACCTTGATTTGTGTGACACCCCCTACTGCATTTGTTTTATGTTTTTAATTATTCTTTGTTTGGTGAAACTCTCGCGACACGCAGTTTGGAAACCACTAATCTATATTAACATGAAATATTTCTGGTACATTTAGAAAATGTGTACATGTTACAAAACTTTAATATCAGTGTGGAAATAAGCCAACTTTCCGTATGAAATGAAATACTCAGATTCCTTGTAAAAACTTATTATTTATTTCACGTTGTTCTCTTTTGATTATCATCTTAATTTCGTGTCATTTATTTTTAAGAACTTCTGACCAAAACGTAAGTCAATCATTAAACTTAACTTAAAAGTAAGTCAGAAATTAATGAAGATAATCCTATGGATAATAATAATAATGAGACCAGGAGTATTTCGTGTAATAAATAAATTCACAAAAAATGTAGTAGGCGTAGGACTAACCTAAATATTTTACTGGCTAAACCTCGTGACATATTAATTAATTACGCCAAAAATATTGTTAACAGTGAGGATATTCAACTAATGATTTAGTGTATTTTAACCATTTATTTATTTTTTGTGTTCGTTTCTCATCAAATATCACTATGATTTTATCTTTCAGTAAACGAACTTCTTGGAGAGGACTATATCGCAGGATACAATATTTCTTCTTCGTTATTGTCTTCCTTGTTTACTATCGTGATGGGCTTCTTATGGGTTTTGCTACTTTTGGCATAAAAAGTCCTGAACATCTTAAGTACGTTTCGAGATTATTCCTGTGGCAGAACGCTGATCAAAAGTCATTTATTTGAAAGATTGTATGTAGTAATTATAATGTAATTTTTTTTTTCACGCGTGCTAGACGTGCAAGTTTCAAAGTGTCGTGTTACCAGACGCAGCATTTTATTTTGAAAGATAATTTTTAAGTTCTGCTTCAGGTAGATTTAGCTAATTACCATTTCACCAGATGTCACCTTTGTGATTAGCGACTACCAATAAAAAAATTTTTGCAACGTATAGTTTAAATAGCTTAAGGCGAATTTCAATTCAAACAGTTCACTATATATACATGACAAGACCGTTCAGTAGTTAAAGTATATATATGTTATGGTATTTTAGTTTTATGATTTATTTACCATACTTTCTGTAAAGTAGATAAGATCAGCCACGTAAAAGTTACATAAAGACCCGTCCAGCAGTTAGGCTTCAGAATTAAATAAATAATTAGTGGATGTTGAATGAACAGAAAAGACTGATAGTTGTAATACCTTTCTTATCGAATATCTACTGTTTGCTCTGCTGATTTCTTTGGCCACAATTTTAATTACAGCCCCGTTTCTGTTCACAGTATTTGTTTTCTATGTACACATACAGGCCTCCCAGCGAATCTTTAAACACTGTAAAACCTGTTTTTAAAAAGATTAAACCTTGAAACCTGTACAATAGCTTGCAATAGCCCATAAAATCCATTTTTTTAAATGCTTCAGTTTATAAGAAATGTATATTTACAGAAATATAAGTTTGTGCTCTTTGTTTAAATTTAAAAGTCGGTTCTTAGTTGTCATTCATGTGGCCTGAAACAGACACTCATTGTGGTCAATGACACATGAATATTATTGGTTACGAGGTGGTGAAGGTTATCCTCAACTTATCCAAGAAAGATTTCGCTCAAAGTAACCTGTATTTAATTTGTCCAGGTTAGCCATTATTTTCAATATATATATGTATACTAAATCTTATGCTAATAACATCTGTACTCTCAGGGAGTAGAAGTAAAAATAATGGTAAATGCATGAGATACTGGAAAGTATTTTTTTAATTGAATATATTTAACAATCGCTAAAGATATTCGGATATGTATAATATTATATTTGCTTCATTAGATTATTAGGTTTTTGAGCACTTTTATGTAGTATTTAGGTTTTAAAAAGTGTATTTATTTATTTAATTAACTGGATAAATACAATACATTTAATGTAATTTTCTCTAGATAGGTTTAAAGCTTATTATTCTCTCCATCAATAAAGAAAAAATTGAAAACGTAACAGACAATTGAATTTCACCGATTTCTTTTTTAGTTCTAGTACAGGTTAACAGTTGAATCACTAATTTTCTTCCGACTTGTACAGTAGTAATACAACTTACTGTACACACAAAGTACTAGAAACTCGAATATTAACAGTGTAAACCAATATCTGTGTTTCAGTTCCCGCCATAATGAAACAAAACTAACAGTAAATATATACATCCTGACTCTGTACTTTACATTACATTCATTTTCCTTCTCGTATGTCTATCTGAATCGTTGGCTGATTGCGCTTGGACAAATAACCACAATTAGTTCCGTATCACGCCATTAGATGGAAGCACTGTGCATGACAATGACTTCGAAAGGTTTCTCTGTTGAAACTAGTAGAATTTATTTTAAAAACGATAAAGCTCGCACTTTCCAAGGTTGTTCCTTTAAAGGATTTTCCATTCTTTTACGCGATTAGAGCTAAAAAGACAATTATATCAATATTTCCATTAAGAAACTTGAAACTGTTGTAAAGAATATGAAATATGAAAAAAAAAATATTTAAGAAAATATGATTCAACCTTATTCAGTAACGCTAATTGTACTTCATTTACTTATTTGAAAGTCTTATTTTGGAAAAATTAACAACATTATATATATATATATATATATATATATATTAAAAGTTGAAATTTGTGTTCAATACATTCATTCGTAATCTTGTTTATAATCAAACTTCGTTTTCCTTCGAACACATCGATTGCAATGTTTTGGGTATTGAAATGGGTGCCTACTTCGACCGTTTAAGGAAAAGAATATATTCAGACAAAAATTCTCTTGTCTTTCTTATTATAAATTCGACGAATCATCAAATTATTGAAACTAGTGAAAAGGCATCAGTATATTATACAAGGGAAGAACAAACAAGGACTTGTGTTCTATGCGGTATAATATCTTTGGCGATAAAGCGGTATCAGGTAAATCATATGTCAAAGCGAATGTTTTGCGCCCAACATCTTCAGATTCTAAATACATTAACCTTTGTATGTATTATCCAATCAGGCAGTGGATGAAGTGAGATGAAAATATGGATCCACAAGAATGGGGATGAAGTTTCTATGGTGATCAAATGATAGCTCAACATTCCGATAAGCCGCCCACACCAAAATTGTAGTTGCAAAGCAAGTTGTTCAAATCTAAGATGTAATTGCAGGAAGAACGTACTTCTATGTTTGCCAGCTTGCATCGAATGTCGTGGGGTAAGTTGTGACTGTTTCAAATGTCTAGATCGTGTTAACATCAATTATAAATAACTTATCCAATCAGATAACATGTTTTAATATTTGTCTGCATTCTTCTTTACTACTTTGTTGTTTCCAAGGTGTTATTTTTCTACAATTCTTAAAACCAATTATTGCGACAACAGAACTATGCGACACCTCTTGAACTTTTTTCTGTTATAATAGTTTGTTTGTTTATTTGTTTGTTTGAAGTTATACACAGAACTACATAATGGGTTATCTGTGCTCTGCCCACCACGGGTATCGAAACCCGGTTTCTAGCGTTGTAAGTCCGCAAACATACCGCTGTGCCACTGGAGGACCTGTTATAATACACCTT